GCATGATTATATATATCTTTGTCAGCAATATGGCCAACAAGAAAAAAGTTATAAAATGGCTCAGATTTTGTTTGGCTATTGTTATCTCTGGAAGCGTATCTGTAAATGTTTATGTCTATTATTATCAATTTATTACTTTTAAAAGGAAAAAAATCAACTAAATAATTAATTAATCCATTTTTTAAAGGGTGGCCACTTAAACCCAGCAGTCACAATAACTTTGGCAGTTTATCGTAAATTTCCTTGGTTGAAAGTTCCTGTGTATATTTTGGCTCAAACGTCTGGAGCATTTGTTGCTGCGGCAGTCATTTACATAAATTATCATCCATCAATTACAAATTATGATGGTGGTGAACGCTCAGTCACCGGAGCAAACGCTACTGCAGGAATTTTTGCTACATATCCTGCTCAGTTTATGGGAACTTTTGGATCATTCTTTTCAGAAGCGCTTGGCACATTCTTTTTGCTTCTAGTTATATTGGCTGTAACCGATGAAAGAAATGAATTAAATATCAAACCAGTTGCACCTATTATAATCGGTCTAGCTCTTGCCACCATTGCACTTTCCCTAGGTTACGAAACCGGATTTAGTTTGAATGGTGCTCGTGATTTCGGGCCAAGATTGTTTACTTTCTTGGTTGGTTATGGTGTAGAAGTTTTTTCTACAAGTTGTTTTTACTTTTGGATTCCAATTGTGGCTCCAGTTGTTGGTGGTTTAGTTGCTGGGCTTGTATATGATTCCATGATTTACTGGGGAAAATCTCCTTTAAATTAATTTAAAAATTTAATCATTGACTATTTGTAAATTATTTTTACCGTTAATCGTTATTTTTTACATGTATCTCACAAACGTATACACATTTATATATATAATTTTTCATTATCATGTAAAAAAAAAAAGATTTTTAATTCGTGATTCGCGAATGGTATATATTATTTCGTGTTAATAAAATATAAAATTCTTGCAAAAATTAAAAGAATTCAATGACAAAACACACACACAT